TTATTCCTTTTCACTATTGAAGGGTAACAAACACAATAAAATTCTTTTCTTAATAAGGAATAATATCTAGTCCAGAAGGAAATAGCAACTTTAAATGGCAAATAGAACACTGTACTAATTCATGTGCCAGATAATGCAAGCAAATGTTTAGAGTTCAATGTTCAATGTTGGTTAGAGTGAATAGGGAAGATTTTTTTTATGAAAAAAGGGATTTACGATGAATTCGCTAGAACAGGTGAAAGAAAAGTGAAGAGCGAGTTAGAAGTGAGGGCAATACAAACCAAAGCTTTGGAGCTGCGGGGAAAGACTGATTTATTTTGAGGGGATAGAGAGATTATGGGAGTCTTCTGTTGAATGAAGGATTCTGGTTGATGAAAGTTGAAAAATGTATCATCAATTTAGACATCCTCTTACAAGCAGTGATCATTCTAAAAACTTTGTGATGAAACTGTTTTAGGATGATTATTTTTATTTGAAAAACTGAAAAGGACACAGAAAGTACAGATATAACATCATGCCTATTTGGACCTGTTTCCTAAAAATGACTGTATGGGAGAACCAAGAACTGAAAGATCTCAAGAGACAAATCATAGTCCTGATAGAAAGATACATAGAAAAGCTAAGCTAGCTACATAATGAAACTGCCTCTTTCCCAGCACAACGTGCATATTTACAGTGTGAGTATAAGCCAGATGGCAGAAGCTTTTATTCTAGCAGGGCCCGATGATAATTTGTATATTTAAAATATGTCACAGTTACATGATCACTCATCCTCCTGTAGTTAGCAGTAAAGATCTGCTGCTGACAATTTCAAGTATAATCACTTATCTTCTCTAAAGAAACATTTTGATCTTTCCCTTCACCCAGCAGAGTATCAAATAAAACTAATGTTTCTAGTACACAGCATGGTTATGTATATAGAGAAGATAACGAAAGCTAGCTCCTATTAATTATTCTGTTAGTTAATACTGGCAGCTAGAATTGAATATCACATGTAAGAGCATCAAAGAAAAAACATTTAACTAATTAATTTATAATCATATAGCTAGAAACACATTCAGTGGTTCCATTGACAGGAATATGTCATACAACTAGTTTTGAGAACTATGGGACAGAGATTAATTTGGTAAAGTTGTCTTCAGCTGTTCATCACCTCTAACATTCTTCCAAATACAGATCTTCCTTGACTTAGGATAGATTATGTCCCAATAAACTCATTGTAAGTTAAACATATTGCGAGTAAAAAATGCATTAATATACCCAACCTACCGAACATCATAGGTAGCCTTGACTGCCTTAAACATGCTCACAACACTTACATTAGCCTAGTTGGGCAAAATCATCTAACACAAAGCCTATTTATAATAAAGTGTTTAATATCTCATGTAATTTACTGAATACTCTACTGTACTGAATATTGACAACAGAATGGTTGTATGGGTATAGAATGGTTCTAAGGATATAGGCTGTTTACTCCCATGATTGTGGGGCTGACCAGGAGCTGTGGCTCTGCCCTGCCCAACATTATGAGAGAGGATCATACTGCATATCACTAGCTTGGGAAAATATCCAAATTCAAAATTTGAAATATGGTTTCTACTGAAGGTGGGTTTGCTTCCCATCATCATAAAGTTGAAAAATTCTTAAGTTGAACCTGTTAATACAGGAATCATCTGTAATATCCTTATTTTTCAGGTACATATTTTTCTTTTGAATTTTCAATTGGATAAAATGAAATTTTTGAATAGTAAAAAATTCAATATACAGGGGAAAATAAATTGCCATTCTACTCAAGATTTCTATCTTCTCCTGAGAGGCAGCCACCATTACTGAACTGTGTATCCTTCCAGAAAGATTCTTTCCTTTCCCTCTCCCTCTTTCCCCTTCTCCTCCCCTTTCTCTAAACAGGATATATAGATGACATTATATACACTATTAATAATGACAGAACTGTTTTCCTATATACACTGCATTTAAATGCATAAGAGTATTCCAAGATATAGATAGACATGAACCACTTTTCATATAGTTAGACATATAGGCTGTTCTAAGTCATTTACAAACCCAAGAATCTGTTACAATGAATATCTTCTTACATATTGTTTTGTACATTTTATTTTGGTACGCCTGTAGGCTATTTTCCGAAAACATAACTGTTTTAAAAGATATATGCATTTTAAATTTTGGTGGGTATTTCCAATTGGTCCTCCAAAGATTTATTTTAACATGTAATTCTGGTGAAAAATATGAAAGTGTATTTACAAGGAACTGTGTGAGGCAAGGAAGAAATTGTCTAATTAATGCACATCTTTTTCTTATGTCTCTAAGAGAATATTTCTAAAACCATAAATAACCAGTTAATTTTATAAACTAATAAATAGTCTTATGAAATTACTCAACTTAGCTGGCTATTTTGGATTTGATAAATATCACTGCATATTTGACTGTTGTAATTCCAAAAAAACCTAATTGATAAAACATACACTATATAGTTACATTGTTTAGCAATATCAAAGAAAAAAAATTATAAATGATGACTCATGTTTCCCCTCCAGGAGAAACTTTTCTCCTTTCAGGATATATAATATATAATTTCAATTTCAAAGACATTAAAAGTATAATTTAGATCCGAAAAATTTGCAAATATATTAAATAGAGTTGTACATACGTTTAAGTTGTTACTATGATCAAAGTAATCTATTAGAACTAATACTAGAGAATTTTGGAGTCTATCACTAGAATTCTATAATTTTAACTCACCAGTTAGGCTAACAGAAAGAAATGCAAAGTCTACTAAGTTTACATTTCAATAATATGGATTAGTATATATGAAATCTCATAATTATTACCAATTTCTTTTCTTACAGTACCTATTAGGTTGCTTCCTGAAGAACGATAATTCTTGACTAAGCATTTTAATATTTTAAAGGAACCACACAGTGATACACAAATATAATAGGACGAGATATTTCAAGAAATGCACTTAATGTAATACTTCAACCAAGGGTCCATAAAACACTAAACAATAATTCCAGGTAATAATTTATGCATGAATTCACTAATATTTAAGATCAATTTCAAATGACAAATATGCTAATTGTGGTATGAATTTAAATTTTAATATGCAGGTATCAAATTATGCCCATACTTTGCACTAATGATTGCCAAATATATTACCATATGTGAAATGTATTTATGATACTAGATCACGAGCTAATTATAATATGCATAAATATATTCACAATTACGTGGACAAAGATTCTCAGCTTTTCACATCCGACTCAATCAAATAATGTTTAATATAGTATAATGGACCTTAATTCTGGAAAAATCTCTTTGATCAACGACTTCATTCTCTAGCTCCTGAATATGTTTATTTCATCATGTGTATTCATTGAGTATTGAGTGAAAGCAAGTGTACACATCATATGACTATATTGTTTAGTATGACTTAGGCATATTTGTTCTTGTAAGTTTTGGTTCAAATTTCAGCACTATTACATTATTCATGTATTTCTTCTCTAGGTAATATTCAACACTCAAAGCAAATAGGAGTCTACAGACTAAGAAAGTAGGTTTTTCCTTATTTCTGTTTTCTATGCTGTGTTCTTCGGTTTGGGCTCTCCATGCCACAGTATTTTCTCACTGCACTTCCCTACAGAGCAGCTTATAGAGACACCTAGTGGTAAACCGCAGGGGTGGCTTCTCAGACCACCCTAAATGTTGAGTTAAAGGAAAAAAGTTGTCATTATTTATTTACTTGAACCACAAGAGAAAAACCTGGAATATTTTTTAGTGTCATTGTTTCTAACAAAATTATAATCTAAGTTAATTGCAAACATGTGTAATGCTTCTTAGCTCAACAGCATTTATTTCAATAATGACAAATATTTAAAATAAAAACAATACAAAGCCAAAAATTGAACTAAAATTTGATATGAAGAGCAATTGTTAACATTTAGGGAAGCAATAAAATAATGAACTAGTTATATTTTAGCTATTTTGAGAAGTCCAGTAATTTATGTGACCATTTTATTCTCTAAGATCTTTTATTGAGTTTACCAACATTGAAAATTATGTCTGTGCTAGAACTTACTATTTATATGCCAAAATTCCTAACTGTAATTAATTTTTAATTTTAAAATTGACAATTTAACACTTTCATTCTGAAAATATAAGAGATTTTATGCCTTAAAAGTAAAATTTCTTACATGTTTTGCATCATGTTAGAAGATGATGACTAAATAAAAAATATACTAGCAAGCCTTTTGTGGTAGATGTTAGTTATCTAATTATATAGTGTACCAACAGAAAGTGGCAATCATTCCTAGGCCAAATGTTTTTAAATTTAACCGGAAGTTCTATGTAAAGGTTTTATTTTCATTATCTGGTATTACAGATTACTTTTCCCCCTCCTTTGTACATGCCCCAAATATATGTAAAAAAAAAAAAAAACTGTTTCCAAACAAAGTATGTATGGCTTAACTAAAAAATATTTGCAAAACAGATTCAGATGAAATTTCAAGAAACGTTGCAAAACTGAAGACTACACTGCACATCACCTCTAGAAAACTCCTTCCAATTCAACATATACAGAGGACGTGGTAAGATATGTTTGTGGCCATATGTATCAGAATCTATCTTAATACTATATTGAATCACGATATTATAATCACAATAGTATCCCAAACATTACCAAGAAGGACACAACATCAATTATGTTTAAGATGATTCCAAAAGATAATTCCAATATAAAATGGTTAAAATTTATTTAAATGGCAAAAGTCCCCAGTTAGCAGAGGAACAGCCACAGGTGCACTCAGCCTGCATCGGGCCACTTATGATGGTCAAGTTTTTGCTACACCTGGGATGGACTGCAGGTCTAATATTACAAACACTGAAAAATATGCCTTATGAATGTAAAGGTCTCCTTTTGGGGAGGGAGGTGTTTGGTTTCATGGAAAGAGCCGGGAATACTTACTGTAAAGATGACGCTAGTGGAGGTTAGCAGGTGACTCTTCAAGAAACTCGCTTTCTATCGATACTGCATTTACTTAGGGGTTTCCAGCTTTTTATACATACCAAATATATTCAAAATTCTCTATGAAAGTTGTTCACATTCTCTTGTATCGCCCAGACATACCTATAAAACGTAATTCTTAAAAAACAAAAAAATTAGCGCCCTTGTTTGCAGCTAGGATGAGCCACTCCCTCTTTCAGGGTCCTTTACAGTAAGTACAGGAGACAGAAGCAGGGGCTGTGTTATTCTACAAGGCAGGTGGACAGCAAACCATCAGCACCAGGCTAGAATCATCTGCCCCTGACCACCACAAAAGCTGGCACTGTCGGGGTTATTCTCCTCCCTCTCTCAATCCGAGGACTGCACAGTCCCACGCTCGTGTTACGCACTTGATCCAAGACTCCTCTGTCTTCCACGAATGTGACATCCAAGGGGGCTCCGGGTGCGCCGCCTGAGCCCAGGACGCCTTCGCCCACGGCTGCCATCTATCGGCCACGGAGCGCCCGCTTCGCCCTGGGCCCATCATGTCTGCTGCAGCTTGGCTCGCACCAGCGGCGCGACAATAAACAAGTGCACTGGACGGGGCCCTGCGCCCGCGCGGGAGCAGATGCCTCAGAGACCTCTGCGAGGCTTACCGCGTTGCCACGTCCTCATCGCCCGGAAGGGAAGACGCTACTTTCTGTATTTTAGAGCCTCCGGGCTGCCTGGACACAACACAAGCGTAGAACAGCGCTGTTCCTGGCCCCCCAGGCTCCCCAAAAGGATGTCGGAGATAAACAGTTCCAAATAATGACGATTGGGCGCCGCATCTGGGGAGGGGATAGAGAAAAACCCCTGCAAACAGTGAAAGCGATGAGACCTCCAAGAGGATGCGGGAGTCGTACAAATACTAATTAGGGGCCGCGGCGGCGACGGACTCCGCGCGGGGACAGCGGCGGCGGGATCCCAGCGCGGTGGTCGCTGCTGCGCTGGGGGCGGAGGACGGCGCAGGAGCTGCAGCCGCCGCGGGAGCTGCCGAGGGGCCGCTGCCACCTTCGCTCGCCCCCTCACTACCATGTACAGTGTGCGCTGCAAGAAGAAGGCGGGCGATGCATGCACACCCCCGCGCCGCGCTCCCTCTGGCTCGTCCCCGGGCGTGCGCTACTGACCAGGGGGGAATGTGGTGAACACGGCGAGGAGGAGAGCCGAGGGGGGAGGGGAGGGCCGGCCGGCGCGAACCCAGGCCGGAGAGTGAGCGGAGCCGGAGGCAGCAGGAGGGGGCGGCGGCGGCTGCTGGCCGGAGAAAGTTGCCCCTATGCAGATGGCAACTGTAAGTACCCGCCTGGGGAGTGCGGCGAAGGGTGCCGGGGACCCCGCGGTCGCGCGGCGGCGCGGGTGGGAGCGAGTGAGCGTGAGCGTGAGCTGCCGCGAGCGCTCGGCGGGGCTGACCGTCACGCTGGCCGGCCGGCGGGGCCAGGCGGCCCTCTCCGCGTCCCCTCCCCGGGTTCCGCACCCCCCCCCAACCCGCTCCCTCCTCGCCCCGCCCGCAGCCGGCTCCGGCTCCCGGCCCCTGCCGCGAGGCGCCTCCACCGCAGGTCTTCCGCCGCCCCCTCCTCCTCCCTTCCCAGCCCGCCGCTCGCGATCGCCCCCTTCTCAGCCCCCAGCCCCGCTGCCCGCCCCGACTACCGCGGAGAGCGCCGGGGAGAGCCGTTTGGGGAGCCCCGGAACCCGCGGTCGCCACCGCGGCGGCGGCCCCGGGCTGGCGGCGTCCGGGCGCCTCTTCCCTCTTGCTGCTCGGAGCGCACTGCCTACAGCCTCCGTGCCCTGCCGGGGCTTCGGAACCCTAGTGCACGCCCCAAAGAGGCATTTCTTAACGGGTGGCTATTAGGAGTGGGCCGGGAGATGTGAGACGGGGTAAGTCGGCCGTTTACTTTGCAAAAGAGGCTCCAGTGTGTGTGTCTGTGTGTGTGGCGGCGGGGCGGCTTTCTTTCCCTCTCCTCCCTCCCCTCCTCCTCCCCTTTCCCTTCCTTCGCTTTGGGGCGGGGTGGGGGAGGGGGAAGCCTCGCGTCCTGGAACTCCGGGTGCTTCTGCCTGGGCCGCTGTGGGAGCAGCTGCGCCGGGAGCCGCGGGTCTGGCCTGGGTGCTGGGCTCCAGCCCGCGCGCGGCCCCACGCTGTTTAATGCTGAGATGTGCGGGGCGATGATGCAGGGTCTGAATTCTTTGGTGAAAAACAAATATAGTTCCCCCTCCTTTGCCCTCCAAAAAAAAAATTTTTTTTTAATAATCTAAGAATATGCAGCGTACCCGCAAATTTACAGCGGAGGTGCGTCTCCCCGTCAGAATGTCAGCCTTCCCCGGCTCATTCAACTTTATTTTCTCAAATTTCCGGGCTCCTTTGATGACAAGGAGGAAGGGAACGGGAGTGGGATGAGAGGATGCTCTTCGACCCTGGCTAACAAGAACTGAATTAAAGTTGTAAACGCTCGAGTTCAATATTGCCTGGACACAATTTGCAATGGGGTGGGAGGTGGGTGGGGGCGGGGAAGCACAGGGAGGGAGGGGGAGGGGACCCAACCCCTGCTGAATGGGTGTGCAGATTTCATCCAGCAGAGAACCGAAATTTCAAGGTAAATGCTTTGCTTTCTTAGGGGGTGTTTGTGCAGCTTCTAAGCCGGGAAGTGTTTGCCTTTGCGTTGGGAGGTCGGGGTACTTGCGAGATTTATACACTGTGAATCCGGTTCGTCTCGACACGTCTGAGTGGCCACACATGAATGATTCACAGGCACACTTGCACATGTGCGTGCGAATGCAGGGGCTCTTAGTAACGCGGGCTGGAGTCGGCTCCGGGACCAAGACCGAGGTCTCCAGGCTTGAACCCGTGACTCAGACACGTATTGGCTTTAGTTTGGGTTGCGATTCGACATCAGACTTCGGTGGTGGTGAGGTAAAGGCAAGGTTGACGAGAGAAAAGGCACTGGTTCCCCGAGCCCAGCATTTCTACCAAATGCCGCCCCCCACCCCCCGCCCAACTAACGCAACAAGCACCCATACACCCGCTTCGTTTGTGTCCTTTCCTTTATGAGTGCTGCTGTCGATCCAAAGTAGGAAGTCGAAGGAAGCCTTTCAGGGGACAAAAAGAAAGCTAGAAAGACAAGGGGGAGGGGATCATAGTGATTCCTTGCGGAGATGACATTAGGATATTAAAGCACTAACGTATGTCACTTGGTTGTTCTCTCCCGTGTACCTCCGTATTTTGCCTCTTAATGAGCCCAAGTGCTTTTTCCCTCCAGGGGAAAGAAAAAAAAAGGTTGAGTAAAGCATTGTCAATTAAATGTAATAAGCATCTCCAAAGATGGGGATGCTGAAGAGGTAGTAGTTTATTCCAAATCCTGCTTGATCAGTAGGGTTAGTTTTGAAAACCGGGGCAAAGACATGGAGCCCGAGGTAAGGGGGCTTTGGCGCTGGTCCTTGGTTCACTTTTAGTTGATCCCGGTGAGCGGTAAGAACGTCCTCTTTAAACTCCAGATGTCGGGAGGTGCTCCGGGATTGCGGATGCCTTCGCAGAGTTCTTTGTAATCCATCGTGCAGAACTATTTCTGTGGCTTAAAGGTGCGGTTTGGTAGCGTCGCTGACATGAGCAATGAGGAGAAGTGAACGCAGGGCGCTCTCAGGGAAGCGCTGCTAAGTGGCACCGTACAGGCAATTAGGACGCTGATGTGCTTAATAGCGTGGTAGGGAAGTCCACCATCAAAGAGAACGCGCTTTTTTCTCCATACTCAAAGCTCCCGAAGACAACTGGTGATTTAAGAGCCTCTTTAGGTCCTTTTGATGCATCCTTTTTGCCTCTGAAAAGTATTGTTTAGGTTCCCACCCTGGCATTTGGAGCGATGGCTTAAAATAGCCGAAGTATTGTGGCTCCTTGCTCTTCTGTGAAAACGGGAGACCTTCAGGATGACTGTTAACTGAAGAGGTTCTGAAAGAAAGGCAGAGGGGCTGGGTATAGCTGAGGTAGGGAACCTTGTAAAATGGTGCTTCTTTTCTCTTAAATTAGAACCATGAAACTGAACTGACAGCCATTTTATGTATATTTATGGATTGGTTTTGAATGGTGGGTGGGGGGGCGGAGCAGGGAAGAACACTGAAGAGAGACTTTGCCTAACCTTCCCATATCAGGTAAAGAGCAGAATGTTCCTGTTGCGCTCATTAAGCAATGAAATCAACCTTTAAATCAAAATGAATGTCAGATTTTAATAAAGTCTGGAGAATCTCGATGTTCCTCTGGGGGAGGGGGGCTGCCATTCATATCCCCTCCTTCTGGATTTCAGAGAAATAGCATTAGGGAAGAGAGAGACTTTCTGACTTATCCCTTAAAATCTTGTCACATTCTGTTGTTTCCTTTCTTCCTCTCTCCCTTGCAGGAGGTAAAATGCACACTTGCTGCCCCCCAGTAACTTTGGAACAGGACCTTCACAGAAAAATGTATAGCTGGATGCTGCAGACCCTAGCGTTTGCTCTAACATCTCTCGTCCTTTCGTGTGCAGAAACCATCGATTATTATGGGGAAATCTGTGACAATGCATGTCCTTGTGAGGAAAAGGATGGCATTTTAAGTGTGAGCTGTGAAAACCGGGGGATTATCAGCCTCTCTGAAATTAGCCCTCCCCGTTTCCCCATCTACCACCTCTTGTTGTCCGGAAACCTTCTGAACCGCCTCTATCCCAATGAGTTTGTCAATTACACTGGGGCTTCAATTTTGCATCTGGGTAGCAACGTCATCCAAGACATTGAGACCGGGGCATTCCATGGGCTGCGGGGTTTAAGGAGATTGCATCTGAACAATAACAAACTGGAACTTCTGCGCGATGATACTTTCCTTGGTTTGGAGAGCCTGGAGTACCTACAGGTCGATTACAATTACATCAGTGTCATTGAACCGAATGCTTTCGGGAAACTGCATTCACTGCAGGTGCTCATCCTCAATGACAATCTCTTGTCCAGTTTACCCACCAACCTTTTCCGTTTTGTGCCCTTAACGCACTTAGACCTGCGGGGGAACCGGCTGAAACTTCTGCCCTATGTGGGGCTGTTGCAGCACATGGATAAAGTTGTGGAGTTACAGCTGGAGGAAAACCCGTGGAATTGCTCTTGTGAGCTAATCTCTCTCAAGGATTGGTTGGACAGTATATCCTACTCGGCCTTGGTGGGGGATGTGGTTTGTGAGACCCCCTTCCGCTTACATGGCCGGGACTTGGACGAGGTGTCCAAGCAGGAACTTTGCCCACGGAAACTTATTTCGGACTATGAGATGAGACCTCAGACGCCTTTGAGCACCACGGGGTACTTACATACCACCCCAGCCTCGGTGAATTCTGTGGCCACTTCCTCCTCTGCTGTTTACAAACCCCCCTTGAAGCCCCCTAAGGGGACTCGCCAGCCCAACAAGCCCAGGGTGCGCCCCACCTCACGGCAGCCCTCCAAGGACTTGGGCTACAGCAACTATGGCCCCAGCATCGCCTACCAGACCAAATCTCCGGTGCCTTTGGAGTGTCCCACCGCGTGCACTTGCAACCTGCAAATCTCCGATCTGGGCCTCAACGTCAACTGCCAGGAGCGCAAGATCGAGAGCCTCGCAGAGCTGCAGCCCAAGCCCTACAACCCGAAGAAAATGTATCTGACGGAGAACTACATCGCAGTCGTGCGCAGGAGCGACTTCCTGGAGGCTACTGGGCTGGACCTCCTGCACCTGGGCAACAACCGCATCTCGATGATACAGGACCGCGCCTTCGGAGATCTCACCAACCTAAGGCGCCTCTACCTAAACGGCAACAGGATCGAGAAGCTGAGCCCGGAGCTGTTCTACGGCTTGCAGAGCCTGCAGTACCTCTTCCTCCAGTACAATCTCATACGCGAGATTCAGTCCGGGACTTTTGAGCCCGTCCCGAACCTCCAGCTGCTATTCCTAAACAACAACCTCCTGCAGGCCATGCCCTCAGGCATCTTCTCAGGCCTGACCCTCCTCAGGCTGAACCTGAGAAGTAACCATTTCACCTCCTTGCCGGTGAGTGGAGTTCTGGACCAGCTCAAGTCACTCATCCAAATCGACCTGCACGACAACCCTTGGGATTGTACCTGCGACGTGGTGGGCATGAAGCTGTGGGTCGAGCAGCTCAAAGTGGGTGTGTTGGTGGACGAGGTCATCTGCAAGGCGCCCAAGAGGTTCGCCGAGACCGATATGCGCTCCATTAAGTCGGAGCTGCTGTGCCCAGACTACTCGGACGTTGTGGTTTCCACGCCCACGCCTTCCTCGCTCCAGGTCCCTGCGAGGACCAGCGGGGTAACCCCCGCCGTCCGCCTGAACAGCACGGGGGCCCCTGCGGGCTTGGGCGCGGGTGGAGGGGCGTCGTCGGTGCCCTTGTCGGTGTTGATCCTCAGCCTGCTGCTGGTTTTTATCATGTCGGTCTTCGTGGCCGCCGGGCTCTTCGTGCTGGTTATGAAGCGCAGGAAGAAAAGCCAGAGCGACCACACCAGCACTAACAATTCCGACGTGAGCTCCTTCAACATGCAGTACAGCGTATACAGCGGCGGCGGTGCGGGCGGCCACCCGCACGCGCACGTGCACCACCGCGGACCCGCGCTGCCCAAGGTGAAGACGCCTGCGGGCCACGTGTACGAGTACATCCCCCACCCACTGGGCCACATGTGCAAAAACCCCATCTACCGCTCTCGCGAGGGCAACTCCGTGGAGGATTACAAAGACCTGCAAGAACTCAAGGTCACCTACAGCGGAACCCATCACCTGCAGCAGCAGCCGCCGCCGCCGCCGCCACCACCGCCGCAGCCCCAGCAGCAGCCCCCGTCGCAGCTGCAGCTGCAGCCGGGGGAGGAGGAGAGGCGGGAAAGCCTCCACTTGCGGAGCCCCGCCTACAGCGTCAGCACCATCGAGCCCCGGGAGGACCTGCTGTCGCCGGTGCAGGACGCCGACCGCTTTTACAGGGGCATTTTAGAACCAGACAAACATTGCTCCACCACCCCCGCAGGCAACAGCCTCCCGGAATATCCCAAATTCCCATGCAGCCCCGCTGCTTACACTTTCTCCCCCAACTATGACCTGAGACGTCCCCGTCAGTACTTGCACCCGGGGGCAGGGGACAGCAGGCTGCGGGAACCGGTGCTCTACAGCCCCCCCAGTGCTGTCTTTGTAGAGCCCAACCGGAACGAGTATCTGGAGTTAAAAGCAAAACTAAACGTTGAGCCGGACTACCTCGAAGTGCTGGAAAAACAGACCACATTTAGCCAGTTCTAGAAGCAAAGGAACTCCCCTGGAGCTTTTGCATTTAAAACAAACAAGCAAGTAGACACACACGGTGAACACATTTGATTTGTTGTGTTGTTTCAACGTTTAGGGCGAAGTGCCTTGGCACGAGATTCTCAGCTTCGGCAGAAGATACTGAAAGGGTGTGCAATTCCTTTAATTTTACACGTTGGGAAACATTTGTGTAAACTGGGCACATCACTTTCTCTTCTTGCGTGTGGGGGAGGAGAGAGAAGGGCTTTGTGGAGGGCAATTTGCTGCGCGGGTGACTTGTCAAAAGTTGGTCAATTTTTGTAGTGGATGGAAGTTCTCATTATGGTGGATAATGGCAGCGCATAGATTCTACTCTTCGTCTTATGGCCCCGCCCCCAGCCCCGCCTCCCTTCTCCCCCTTTAAGCCATGGGTGGTTCTAAATGGCTTTCGTGGAGAGATTAGCACACCCCGACTGTAACAGAAAGTTTGTTCTCTCTCCCTCCTTCTCCCTCCACCCACCTCGCTTTCTCTTTCTCTGCCTCTCTGGCTCCCTGCTTTCCTTCCTCCTCTCTCATTCCTTTCCATTTTTTTTTAAAGGATGTGTTTGTATGCATCTGGACATTTGAATTAAAAAACGAAAACGTGTTGTGATCTTGAAAAGGATCACCATATATGTGGACAAATCATTAAAATTACAGAGCTATATGATCCATAATTGATTAGTCAAAATAACTTATTGATGAAATATACAAATATTTTATTGTAGCACCTATTTTTATATGCACATTTAGCATTTCTCTCTCCTTCGCTATTTAGCCTATGATTTTCACAGAGGTGTCACACTGTTTTAGGGGCTGCATTTCCCAAACTGAAGTGATATCAGGAAGGCATTTTAAAATCACTAAAAACATGGAGAACTTAATGGCAAGATCTTAAAGCCAATGCAACCCACCCAATTGGATCTGTAATTTGAACAACAAAAATGCTGACGGTGTTCCAATGCATAAAAGAAAATAATTTAGGGCAATTAACTGGGCCATTCGAGTGAGAATCGTGTGCAAGTTTCTGGTTTTATTAGAGAAGATTTTAAAGTATTTTTATTAGTCAACCAAAATGATGTATTGATTTGACTACTATTGTAGCCGATTTTTGATTGTTTAACCAAACCCAGTTGCATTTGTACAGATCCACGTGTACTGGCACCTCAGAAGACCAAATGACGGACTGTACAAATCTCTATATAATGTCTTTATCCCTCTGGGCAGCAAGCAATGATGATAACCACAAACAGGATCTCTGTAAGATGGGGCTACTGTTGTTACAGTCTCATATGTATCCCAGCACATGTAATTTTTTAAATAGTTTCTGAATAAACACTTGATAACTATGTCAAATTCGAGGGATTGAAGTAATGTTTACTTAACATGCAAAAGTATTAGCTTTGTGTGATTGAATGGATCTCCATTATTAACAATTTGGGACATAGTGGCTAACTTATTCCTAATAGAAGACATTTACACTTTTTTTTGGTTCAGGGAATTATGTTTTTCTAAACGTGTCATTTAATGTGTTCATTAATGAAATTTCAATCATATATTTCATTTTCTTACTGAAGTAGTCATTTAATAGATGGAGCATGGTAAGTAATGTATCACATATTCGTTTTTCTCCCAGAATTGTGTATTTTGTCCAATTAATATTATTTATTCAATCTACAATTTTCCATAGTTTCCATATTTTAACTTGTGTAAAACAACATTCAACAATGTTTGATGGGTGTTTTATCTCAAGTTAATCTATATCCTAAGGGTTCAAAATGTTGGTGGGTATAAGCTGGTCACCTCTGAGTAAGTTTTGCCAGGGAATTTAGATGAGTATTTAAGGATGGGAAATGTTTGAATTAATCTGAGACTTAGAGAGCCATGTGCTTCATTGCTATTGATGGATCTTACCATTATCTCACCTGAAATGTGTACAATATCAAGGGCTGTTCATGAACTTTATGTTTAAGGAACACTTTCCATGGCATTCTGCCACATAGAGGCAGCATTCACCCATGAGTAAATTGACAGTAACTGCTTGAATTCAGATTGAACAGGTGGTAAGAGTTTCCCTGAGGAGTTAAAAAAAAATTAGTAATGCTACATCAGCCAAGTGAAGTAAACTATCCCCATTCTGTGCAATATTTTCTCTTCCAAGTTTTTTTTTCAAAAGAGAAAGAAACAAGCTAAATAATGTCATGATAGTATCATGAAAAAATATATCTCTTACTCTTCATCTACCTCCTCCACATTAGATCCAGGATAGAAAAGAAAAATAAATGCTGGCATATGACTTCATAATTGGGGTTGTTGTTAATTTTTCTTCACAATAGGAGTTATTCTTTTAAAATGTCAAATCACTTTCTCAATATTATTATATGTAGATATGGCAGTGTTGTATAAATTATAAAATATGAATACAAACTGGAATCCTCCTTGTAACTAAGTTTTATTTATTAATTGCTGCATAAATAAGAGACAAGAATTACACTAAATTAAAGATGCAGTTCTTGACAATATAAGTAACTTCCAAAGAAAGTTTGTTGATGTACTTTTCAAAGATTTACAAACGAGTATTATTTTGAACCAGCACTACTGCATATAATCTTGTCACATACACTGTCTTTAGGTGGATCATTTATACCTCTATTCTTTCTAAGGTGTCCAACTTTATTTGAATCTCAAAGATGATACATGATTTATGTAAAGAGGTGACTCTAATTTTTTAATTATATTTTTCCCAACTGTATTAAGGGGATAAAAGCAAACTCATCTTTGTTCTAATAAACCTGAAAAAATTTTAACATGAAGAATCATGAAACTGTATAGAATTAAAAATGAATTATTTTTCTCCTTATACATGGCTTTCTGCCAATACATTAACATATACAATAGAACATAAGTTGTGTGGTTTTGAATATTTAATTTTTGGTTTTTCAGGTTGTTCACTGAATAAATAGTTAAATTGGGTATATCAGTATCATATGATTGGACTAAGGAACCCTGCAAATTCTCTCCACAGAATTTCGGAGAACAATAATATGTAATGTTTCAGGCATCAATTAAAATTTGGATGCAAACTAAGCTTACTCTTTGTGCTTGTTCTATTTGATATGTTGCATGATCTCATGCAAGTACATTTCCAGGTAGATATTACAAAATATTGTTTTTATCTATATATGATTATAGTGTAAATGCATTATCTCAGAGAAAGTAAATATATTTAGTGTAAATGTAGACAATTTATGCTAATATTCAAAATCATTTACAGCTAAACTATTGATTGACATTATGAGTTAATCAACTTTAGCATAAATATACTGGGAACACATCTTTTGTCTGGGCAAGATTTTACACATATGAATTGGAAAATTTTGGTAAATAACCTGCATATCAAAGTCTCCTCCTCACCACTGTTCCCTCAACCTCAGTAGGAAAATCAAACTAGTGTGTAAGGAAAGCAACTACACATAATGTGGAAAAATAGTTTAATAATTTAATTTAGGATACCAATTTCTTACCCTATATTATCAATTCTATTCTTGTTTCCACGTTATGTTCTTAACAAAGTATTCAAATTAAATATGTATCATTTGCTCTCCCTACTCTATTCTTTCTGACTTTCTTAATTTTTCTTTGTATCTCTCCCCTCCCTTCCTCCTCTTTTCTCGTTTCTCCTCACTCTTTTTCATTAGGGTAAAGGAAGGAGTGAGAATAGTTCAGTCCTTGCTTGAAATGCCAAAACTGTCTACTTAATTTCAAGAGCTCAGAAGATTGTTCCCAAAGTCGCACATTCAAATTAATGAAAATAAAGCAGACCACAAAGATGTTTCTAATTCATTCAGAAATATGCTCTTGTTGCACTTTGCAGTTGGCTTCATATTAACATTTTGCAAGGGTGTCAAAATATTTGGTATAATTAAAGTTTCAAGGCTCAGTTTTCCACCGAAAGAGGAACTAAAAACAACAAAAGAACGGATATAGATAGATGCTAGAAGACAGGAACATTTAATTAATTGATCATCAAAGGGAATACAATGTTGTAAAAGTGGTAAACTACTATGAAATTAACTATAATTTATGAATAATGATCCTCAAACCTCTTGAAATGCTCTGCTTTTTTACAAATATATGACAATAAAATTAAAATAGTTGGATGGAATTAGTCACGTGGATCAAAATAATTACCTAACATCTGTATCCAAAAGAAATTTGTATCAATATTGCGTTTGACACTGGTGCATTTTATCATTAATTTTATTTCAATTGAATTTAGTGCCTCTCTGTAACTATCCATATGTATTTCCACCTGTTTATGTAGCATGTATATGGCATACAAAAATATGTATTATCAAAGAGAGAGCATTGCATACTCAATTTTATATGGAGTTCTTTATATTTCAGTGTTTAAAAATATATCAATGTTTTCATTTTTATATGCTGCTTTAGGTATATTAGTCTAGGGGAGGAAAATAATTTTATGCAATATAGTGTTTGAGTGTGTCAATAATATAATACTTTTTGCTTTGTTTGTTCATAGCAAACCATTTGGCTTATAAGACACAGGTCAAATACTGCTCATGATGGTTTACCAGTATTATAAAATAAATAGTTTTTTGTTCATTTTTTAAAAGAACATTTAACCTTAATCAAATTTAAGAATGATTTAGATTATGTCTTACTAAAAACAGCTTTTGAAGATCAAAACAAAGTATTTCATGGAGCATTGATTTAATGCAGATACGAAATGATTTGACTTACTCATTTTCTATTTACTGTCAAAATAAAAATGTAATGATATATTGTTTCATAGTAAGTATATCAGATACATTTTTTTTAGATATTAGGAGTCATTTTCTAGAAGAAAAGTTATATTTATAATGATATGTTTAATGAAGTCTTCCAAATAGTTTTTTTCTTAATTAGTTACCTACGTCAGTGAACATGACATGTTTCAAAATTACATGTGTTTCTAAAAGTGGAAATTATGAAACAATGTTTTCAAAGATAAAATTTTAAAGTTTTAACATATGCAGAAATGAGTTGTAGCTTTATTGACTTGAAAGTTCATTAATATCTTGGTCTACTTTCAGCAAACATTTGCAGATCATATTGAAATATTTTGAACATATCACCATTAAATTCAATTTAGATTTATTTGTGATACTTCAATATTGAATCATATATATGCACGTAGCAAAATTTGGTTACTTTTCAGTGTTCTAGATCATGCATTTTAGATTTCTTACTAATTTATTTCTACCATCAGTAATAATTTCTAGTGTTTTCAACTAACATAATTTTTGGAGCCTTATTGTATGGTTCATTAAAACCAAAATTTAATATTGGTTATTGAAACCAAAATTGCTATATATTTTCAATTTGTAATTAAATGTGTGCCTATGTAAAAGATGAAGAGTGACAGTAACCAATGGCAACTGATTAGCAAAATTCTTTGCTGCATATTACAATACAGGGTCATGAAAACTAAACATTTTAATATATATAAAAATCATATGTAAAAATGAATTCTTGATCAGTAAATACCTTTCCCTGTAATGTATTTACATAAATTATCCACACAAAAATCATTCTTCTACCATTACAGCAATAGAATATTTTTGCTATATTTAAATGCAAAGTCAAAAGAGCTTTTCATTTCTGAAAATCCTAATAGGAATGGAAAACTTATAGCTATCAAATTTATCCATATCATTAGTTTTATCATTGACTTTAAATTTCTACTCCCAAATATAAAGTTCAGAGTACATGATTCCTTTTATATTATTGAACTTGCTGAAGTCCCCTCAGAGGATACAAACACACATATTTTTCCTTCATTTTTTATACTTATGTAGCAGATATTAAAACAAACAGTTATGTACTACCACTTGTTAAATTGTAAATTTAAGTTTCATTGCACTCAAACAATATCCCTCAATTACATGATTATCTCCCAATTTTTAAAGCTAGTGAATAGCATATTCACATAGGTGCCTCTGAATGTGAAGATCCATCTCCAGAAATTGCATATGTCAGAAAATATTCAAAATCATTAACCATACTGTCATTTAAATTTGTTCAATCCATGCAATGATATTTTTGTTACCTGGTTGTGATTAAAGACTCCCAAGTCTCAGATGAAAAATAAGTTTCTCATTAGAAATTTGACAACAAAAATGTAAATGAAAGATACTGAATATTCAGATTCTAAATTTAAATTATCTTCTCCGAAGCAACAAAATTGTATAAACAGAAAACCATTTGCAAAGTGTCTTTGTGAAAAATTATACATTTTATGAAATTGCTAATTCTGTATGGCTTGCATGATCTTTTGACTTTTAAGTGAACAGTGAACTCCGTCTTCATTTAAAACTTCTGTCTGAGGGAAGATGTTTCTTGCATAGGACTTGAGTCATCTTATTTTCCTATTATGGATTTGTTCTAGGCTTTTATTTAAAAGCTCAATTTTAAACATATCAAAGATGGTCTCTGATATTATGTTTAATCCTTAAAATTCAAATAACTTCCCTCCCAAAAAATTAAAAATAAAAATTGGTATAGTTCTCCGATTTGCTTAGATAAATTTGAAAGGTATCCTCAGTCATATTAATGATATCTCCTCATATTGTTAAATTAAGAATATGATCACCTCATTATCATTCTTAGTGTAACAATCCAAGTATTATGTAAGCATGACTTAATGTGAGCATGACTTAATGTGGTATTGTCACTCATTAATAATCATCTTTAATACACAGCATCTAAATAAAAAGGTGAAAATTTCTTTGAATATTAATGTACTTAAAATTACATGCTTTGATTAACTGGGTAGTGCATGTAGTTTACAAAATGCCACTATTATATGCTTCTATTACTGAAGTTATGTTCTGAAAGTGGTAATCTGCAGGCTAAATCCTGAAAAAAATTTGCATTTTATTTGATTAGAACAATTTTCATTTCCTTAAAAAATTGGATTTGAATGTCTTTAGGCTGGATAATCACCCTCCTCCATATTGTCTTAACCTGGCAGTTTCAACAATATATTATGTGCTGGACCCCGAGGACATGTGACCTTGCAACCATGTTTAAATAAAACTTGTTCTTCTAATACTACAATTTACACATCATAGACATGGATTTTCAGGCATTGTTTTTTAAGAGCTCAAAGTTTATCATATTTTATACATATGAACTAGCAGATTCTATGTAGGTTTTTATTCTTAAGAAATGAAAATTAAATGTAGGAAAAATCCGAATGAATAATTTTACAATCAGAGGAAACTGGTGTACTGTATATGAATGATCTATTAAAAATGTTAAAGTAAGTGTTAAAGATTTAAAGTGACTTGGAATCTCCCAGAGCCTATTTTGTAAACTGTCTTGACTCGGACAGGTCTCTGGACTTCTTAAGGGGCGATAGTAACTTAAGAAGCATGTTATTACAGAGTGAAAACTATAATCACATCTCGCAACAAAAGATTTCCTCCAAATGTCTAACTGCTGATGTACTTGAAAACAGTGCAAAAGGTCAATTCAATAAAAATATGTCAAACACTAAATATTAAGAGAATCACTTCCAGGATGGAAGATGGAACATGGAAAATCTGACCCAGTAGATTTAGGAACAAAAACTTTTGAAAGGGGATAACAGAATTGCCAAGATTATTTTTTCAGTGTATCAGAACAAAATAATGAGTAGAACTATATCATGTAGTGTTGCTGACTGTGCTAGTAATAAGTTGTTTGCAATTTTGTTTTTTTGAGGAAGTAAATTGATATTTATATAGAAGAAGTACGAGATACTCTCCTGAGATTCCCAAACTCCAAATATGTTCATTTTCTATTAAGATTTTATTCTTTTCTCCTTTTTTAAAAAGAAATTCTGGATTTCATTTTCTCTACCATTTTTTCTTGTAAAATGTACATTCATTTTTCTATAAAAATATACTGTCATTTGGGTTTTTACTTTCATTGTTGATTTGGTTTAGCCATTATGTAATCCTAACTTATTCCTTCATTGAAAGTTTAATAAGCTGTGCCTGAAATAACAAAATAATAATTGCATATTA